GAGGGGAGCCTGCACGTACCTGTCGGGAGGCTTTAACAGCCCGCGCCTCGCTACCCGGCTGCCCTTTGATTGCATATGGGGAGTCCGGCAGGAAAAAAGCTTCGTGCCTTCCCTGGGGCGCTGCGGTTCTTCGGTTACCGTCGGTGTCAGCTCGCAGGTTACCGGTGGTCGGGGTGGACCTCGCTGCTCTCTGGGTTTCTGCCTTGCCCTTTGCAAACACTTCAGCGGGTCCCTGAAAGGCAGCTTTATGCCTCCTTTTGCAGCCTGGGAGCCCTCCTATGGCAGGAGCGTCCAGAGGCACCTTTGCCTAGCCTAAAGGGTAGAAAGCAACTTAAGATTTTCTCCAGCTCTCTGGTGCCTTTAGCAGCCTTTAAAATAGGCAGTGCTTCCTTGCCAGCGTAGGATGAAGTGACCGTGTACTGCTGCTTTGCTTCACTTTCTGCCTTCTTGTTGTCTGTGCACCCGCCTTCTAGAGGGAAAAAAAAAACAAAACCAACCAACAAAAAACTTAGGGTACTTATTTCTGAAAGACATCCCTGAACTGGGATTCTCTGTCTGATGGTTTTGGATTCTTGTTGATACCTCTGCTTTTGGTATTTTTCTTTGGTTGTTTTTAGCATTCCAGTTCCTTTCTTTTTAAGTTTAGTTCAGAACAAGATGTGAGAGTGAAACTTGGGGAAAAGAGAGGTCCTTGATCACTGGTAGAAAACCCCTGTCCAGTGAGTTCTAAGGGTGAAAAGCAAAATGTAACTGGTGTCACCAAAAGTAAGGTTTGAAGAGCCATTTTAAAAAGGAAGAGAAGAAAAAAAGGCATATTTTTATTTTTTTCTTTTTTTTTTTTAAGCATTTAAGTTATTGACATAACAGTTGTATTTAAGCAGGGATCTGGACAGCGCTGTTTTTTCTTGCACAAATACAGTGTTTTAAGGAGCAATCTTAACTCCAGTATGATCTGTACTTGCAAGATTTTCTGATACTGTTTTCAGAAAGGAAGAAAACTCATTTTTTTTATTAGAGCTGAAACTCTGGTAGTGTGTAATTCACCTTTATGTGGTTGGGCTTTGAGAGCACAGAGAATTGCCAGTGATTTGAGCCCTGAATTTCACTGAGCTTTGATGTGATTCTGGTGCCATGAGTCAAGAAACAACATCCACTTGGTGAGAGGCAATCATTTTCACTGAAGGTGCAGCTGAGCCTTCCCCAGCACTCTGTCACAGCAACCTATGAGTCGTGTGGATGTTCTTGCTCTGAATGCAACTTGGGAGTCCAGCACCTGGACAGAGGAATAGGCCTCAGCCAGGTCAGGCTGTCTTCAGCTGTAGTGTAGAAAAACATTTTATTTTGTTTTCTGGTGTGTGGTGAATAGAGCTGCCTGCTAGAAGAAAAAGGGAGACCAGGACCGCGGCACTGGTTTCCTCTTACATGGCTACGGGGTGATTTTTACCCCCATTGCATAGTTCGGGCTGGCTGAAGTGAACAGCCCTGTGGAGGCAGGGTGTGGTGAGTGATCTCTTGGATATGCTCAGCTGACTGGATTTATTCTGGACTAGACAGGGCAAGGGTTTGGACAGTGTGCTGTAAGGAGCAGTGTTGCTGCGGATGACAAAGCCTAGCTGGATCCTTGCCATCTGTTCCTAGTCCTGTTGCCGCAGAATTTTTGCTGGTGATTTCGACAGGAACGGGACAGTTCTCCACATCCTTGCAGTAGGCCTTAGCTATTAGAAAAGCATGGGGATCGTGCTGTCTGGCTGATGGCTTTGGCTGCCCTTTCTTATCACGTTGGACGTTCTGTTGCTCTGCCTTTGTGTATACTCCATCTTGGGAGAAAGAATAGGATACTAATACCAGGCCGTAGCAAGCAGCCTGGCTGAGAGGTAAGCTTAATTCTGCTTTGCCCTTTGAAACCTTGTGACTGGAGCTCTGTTACGTGCGGCCAACTCCTCTCCTTATCAGCAGCTCACTGCTGTTGCATGATAGTGGTGGCTTCAAGGGAAAAAGAATGGAGCCTGTTTGTTCTTTTTATAAGGAAGATGTTTTTCCCATGTAATTCTCTCCCAGCTTTATAGGCGAACTCTTTTCAGTGTTACAGGCAGATCGAATTCTTTGTCCCAAAAGAGGTATTAGGAGGTTGTGATGGTTTGCAGTTGATGATGTTATTCTGCCCATGCTCTGTGAGGTTTTTCTCTACCCTTTCCCAGCTTTTTTAAAAACCAGGTGGATTTTTTTTCCATGTTGGCAAATGTGAACATACTTGTCCTTGCTGCTACTGAGATGCAGTGGTGTTTCAGAGGAAGAGAATGGAGCAATATTACTAACAGAAAGTCATTCTCAACGGTGTCAATTCAGAGAAGTGAGAAGCTGGAGGGAAGAGAGATAAGTCTGGAATATGAAGCTTGTTTGCTGGAACCTCTACTAGAACTGGAATTTTTTGGCACAGATTTTGTCATCTCAGCACAAAGTTGATCTTTCCAGGTCTTCGTGTGTTTGTTTAATGTGACGTCTCTTGTGCAGCACAGCATACGGCAGTCGCAAAAGAAAAATCCCAGCTCAGCGAGTATCTGTCAGCATGGATGAATCAAAGGGAGGGTTTGTTAGCTGAGGGTGAGATGATCCTCATATCCCTCAGAAGACCTGGGAAGACTCAGCCTCTGAAGAGAAAGAAGAGTCTGTGGCTGACAGTCTCGAGCAGTTTGTGGGGAAGGTGCTACTGAACTCTAAAAGCTCAACAGATGTTGAGCTGTGCTGTGCTGATTCTTTCCAACTTGTGAGTCACCCAGAACCTCGCAGGGAAAATACCTTCTGAGTCCTGTCATGGAGGCTGTTAGTTTTTGCCATGCCAGCCAGGGCTAAAGTCAAACAGGTAGATTTTTTTTTTTGAGATGAATCCTGTATTGACTATAGCACACAGACTGCGAGAGCACTGTCTCTGGCAATGTGCATCTTTAAGATGCCAGTTGATAGAGATTTCTTTTTTTTAATCTGTGTGTTGTCTGCGACCACTTCTTTGGGGGGAGTCAGGAGAGATGACAGGACCTCGTGTTTGCATTCAGCTCGGAGCTAGTCAAGTGAGGGTTGCTATTTTAGGGTGGGAAGAGGAGGGGATTTGCACAAGGTGATACATTGAATCAGGAGCAGACTTAGTAAGGTAAATCAGGTCAAAACTCTATACTAAATCCTGATCTAAAGTGCTGTGTGCTATAGTCATTTAAGCTTCTGAGGTGATTGTAGAACCAACAGAGGGATAAACTGCTGCTACTGTTGTTTCTGGCAAAGCCACTGGCACACGCATGAAGCACGTGGAGTTTTACGGATGGCAGAGCAGAGTTTCTCCCTGCAGTTTTCTCCCTCCCTCCAGGAGGGACAGTTAATACCGCAGCAGTGTAGGGCCTGGGGGATGGACAGATGGCGGAAAAGATGTGAATGTTCTCTCAGGGAAGGCAGTACAAAGAAGATTCATCAGGGTAATGGGAAGTTCTGTCTTGTCATCTTTCTGAGAGGCAGGAGAGGTGTAATGTAGGGCAGGCAAAAGAACTGAGCGCCATGACTCTTCTGATTCTGACCATAGCTCTCTGCTGCCCGAGAGTTTGACCTTAGGAAACCCATTAGACAGGACTGCATCTGGTTCTGGGTTTGTAAACTACCAGTGATGATGCTGATCAGTGTCTGAGAAGGGCAATGCAGTCGAGGCAGATGTAAAGAAGCTGGAGAACTTTATGCGAACAGGGTTTTAGGTGCTGTCCTTTCACAGCCTTACTGTTGTGCTTAAAATCGGAATAGTTCTGGTGTCTTGCAGAGGGTTAGAAGGAAAATGATGAATCTTGGCTTTTGCCAGTGTTGGTTTTGGAAGATAAAGAGTCTGTACAGTCCCTCTAGGTAAAAGTATGTGAGGCTTTCCCTGTTTTCAGACTGTGGGGTTGGTAACAGCAACAGGTTTCAGTTATGGGCCTTCGTTTTTTCTTTGCAGTAGTTGAAATCAAATCATTGACTGTAACTTCTTGATCTTGGGAGCTAAAATGATAATTAATGTTCTGGTACTGCAGGGTTTCTGTCTCCATCCGATGATGCCATGTATTGCTGCTGAGTCTTGATTTCTTCTATGAATCTGCCAAAGCTCAAAAAATCACAAAATTTAATCCAGCATAGTATTACACTATTTGGAAGGTGCTTGTTACTCTGGTACAAGATAGTGGTTTTATACTGTCCACCCTAGTGGCTTTGTGCAGAATAAGGGCAGGTGGCATTTCATTGTGTAATAGAGTCCTTCAGATGATGATAATTTGCTGTAACAAGCAGGAAGCAGTTGTGCAGGGGCCTAATGGCAGGGATGTGTTTTTTAGCTCTGACTCACAACTGATTTAATGTTGCTTTTTGTCTCTGCTGTGGTTGTCTTGTGCTATGTTTGACGTGGACCAGAAGGAAGGCAGGATGTTCCAGTCCATGGTGTCTGTGATGAGATTCTCCATGTCTGACAACATCACACATTCAACTGCCCTGGTGACAGCACTGGATAATGTGACAACTTTGTCCCCGACAATAACACAGGCAATCAATGACACCAACATCACTGTGCCGCACAAGTGCCTGTTGTTGCTCTATGAGGACATTGGGAAGTCCAGGTGAGACGGAGGAAATGGGACCACAGTCGACCCTGGGCCAGGGGAAGGAGCTTTCTTTCTCAGAGTTTGGCTGAGAAGGGACTGGGGCTGGTGCCTTCCCTTCTAGATGCTGAAGAACAGGAAAAAAACTGTTTTATTTACTTTTTGCAGAGTCCGCTACTGGGATCTTCTGCTCCTGGTTCCCAATGTGCTTTTCTTTATGTTTCTTCTCTGGAAGCTGCCCTCTGCCAGGGCCAAAATCCGGGTCACTTCCAGCCCAATCTTCACTACGTTCTACATACTAGTGAGTACCGCTCTGTGCTTTTTTTTTTTTATTTATGAGTGAGGTGTTTTTTATTACCACTCATGAACAATATCACTGAACTAGTGGAGAGAGAGGCTAGACCAGATCTCGCAGGTATAAAATCTATTTTTAGTTGAAGGTGTGCTACAAGAAGTAAACACAGATATTTTTTTTTTCCTCACTGTCTGAATTCTGCTTTTCACAGATTCTGGGACCATATCTGCTGGATTTGAGTGGATTTTGTTCTGTGGTGATTTTTTTTTTTTCTTTTCCTTTTTTTCTTTTATTGCTTTGTTGTCTTGGAATCTAGTATCTTATACTAGTTTCCTTGCTCCTTGCAGTAAGTAGCATGTGACACAAAACCAGCTTCTCACTGAGGTAGTGAAAGTGAAACACTGGAGAATAATTTGTGTGAAGCTGTTGAAAAGCTTGGTCATCTGCTGTAGAAAATGGTCATGTGACAGGGTTCTGGTTAGTCTGGGAATGTAGAAACCTAACCCCGTTAGTTTCTTTCTCATCATATCAAAGTGGCTCCTGACTTCATGATGTTCTTGATACTTCTTAAGGTGGAAATAGAATATATAGTTACAGTTACAGTTCTCAAACATCAGTTTGAGGTGCACAGTTACAGTTCTCAAACATCTAAGATCTTGTCTGTTCTCCTCTCCCCAGTTTAAAAAGGCACGGGCAACTTTTTATCACATTAAGGTAGTCTCTTTAGTAATCTCTGAACATCATACCTATTAACTGTGATACTGCTCACAGGGCATGGTACACGCAGCTAAGGACCTACCTGAATTTGTTTAAAAATATTGTTCAGAAGCTTTATCATAGGTGCTTTTTGAGGTCCTGGCTTGCCTCAGTGCGTAGCATAATGTGCTTGCTCTTCCTCAGTGAGATTAGTACAGGTTGTAGAAGTAAACGTGTGTTTGAATTGGGTTAGATGGGAGGCTCCCTTCTTCGGGCTGCGTACAGGTACTGGCATGGCAAAACCCAAGAAGCATCAAAACCAAATCTGAGCTAGTAGCCTCAACTGAATCTTTGGTGGGAAGTCTTGTTAGCTCTTTCAAGCCTGGAGTGTGGGCATTGGGCTTGTGCACAGTTTTGGATAACCAGGTATACACACAAATGCTCCAAACTTTTAAAAATATTACCAGCCATTTCCAGTCCGGATTTAAATCTTCCTTTGTGCTTCCAGTAATGCACATGACTCAGTAAGAAGTTCATGCCTAAGGCTTTGAAAAGCAAAACTCCTGAGAAACCAAAGGGAAGAAAAAAGTGAGCTGACTTTATGCAGTTGACTTTTTCAAAACAGAGTGAGCAGAAAGTGATGAAACAGCCTTAGAGGAAAACGCTTTCATTCAGTTTGCTCTTCTGGAGTACGTTATTGGGAAATGAGGATGTAAGTGTGTTCTGTGAGCATTTCCTTTCAAATGGCTGTTTGTCATGTCTTGAAGGAAAGCTTTCTTGTGGAGTCAGCAATTAAAGCTAAGTTAATAGATTGGGAAGAGTCTCTACCTACTTAGAGAGGAAGCAAAAAGGGTGCGTTTTCCTCTCCAACGAGTTGTTGCTGCTCCAGAACACCATTATATTCAGGGACCCTTCTCTTTTGTCAGTGTTTTGTCCCAGAGTTTTCCACCCCAGGAGGAATGTTGTATTATTCTTCTTTCATGCCATTTGCATCCCTTCTTTTTCTAAGGAGGAAACATTCTGCTCTAGGTGGTTTATTGGTCATTTCCGTTCTTCAACCACCTTAGAATCAGCTTGGACTCTTTTCGTTCTCTGATAGATTTAGCTGTTTCATACCTGCATCATTAGAATTAGCCTGTGACTCGGAGAATTTTCACTGGAAAAATCTGCTTTCTTAGAGGGTAAGTCTGCACAGCAGAGGGTAGATATATCCAGCTGAGCTCTTAATTGCATAGTATGGCTGTGACAGCACAGGAGTTAGTAAATTAGCCTTGCTGAGCTCAATGCTGTCATGCTTAAATGGTACATGAGCTGACTTGGGTATCTCTGTGTTGCACTGTGCAGCAGGGTAAGATGTTTTAAAGCTGTTGGCTGCAGCCAACTTTTCTTCCTCTGCATTCCTGAGCATTGTCAGTGAGGGAGAGAACTGCAGATTTTAGTTTTATCACAGATCTGAAGTGTGGTAGTTGGTATCAAGTGGCTTCTGTTATCTGATGTGATTGGTTCATTCAGTAATACCAAGCACTTCATCTTGTAATTTAGAGGGGTATGTTTTTTGTCTGGTTCTTCTCCTCCCCTGCCCCAGTGGACTGAAGGGTGGGAAGACTGTTTGCCTGTAAAGATACTGCTGTAAGGAGTGGATGAGACCTCTTCAGAGCTGTTTAGTCTGCCAGTTGAGGAAATTTATTCCTTCCTAAATTCTAAGCCAGTACTCCTACATCTAACAGGCCTGAGGAATCTTCTTTGGCAAATTTACTCTAATCTGCTACAGAAAGTCCTTAGTACACATTATCAGGCTTGAAAGCAGACCTGGAAATGGTATTCCAAAAGGGTTTCTGGTCACTGCTGCATATGTGCCTTTTGACATGAGCTCACTTTTGGTATCTTTTTGTGTAGGTATTTGTGGTGGCTTTAGTTGGTATTGCCCGTGCTGTTGTCTCCATGACTGTGAGTGCCTCTGATGCTGCCACAGTTGCTGATAAGGTAGGTACAACACCAATTTTAGAGGCTCTGCTTTGTGCAGTTCTGATCACAGCAATCTGCTACAGCTTCCCTTTTATGTGCATACAAGAAGAATGTGGTTTTTTGCAGTACTCACAGCTATGTGTACTATGGAATCCTGTTCCAATAGCTGTATCTAAATGATCACAACATCCAGGGCTGTAAAACAATGGACTTCCTAAAATAGACGCACAAATAGTGGCAGCAAAACTTTCCTGTTGCAGGGATGGAATGACTCTGCTTTGCAAGAGCTAAACATTCAGATACTTTTAGTGGATAGGCAAGACCTGGCCTTTGTTACTCTTGCAATATATGAGTGGCTCTTAAAAATATTTAATTCTTTTGTATTGAAAGCAAATAAAACTAAATTCTCTTTTGAGACTGATATCTGAATGTCCTTGCAGCCACTCTGAGCACAGGGTGAACCCTTAGCAAACAGGAAATAGCTTTGTATGTGCTGTTCCTTTGTAGTCATTTGACTTGTAGCACAATGTTACCTAAAACAAAAAGCTCCGTAGCTCTTGAGCTGTTAGAGGAAGAAGAGCCACCCACAGAGTACAGATCTTCTGGCTTTATTCTCTGGGATCAGTGCGGTTCTTTTGCTTTTCCCTTTAATGTTACCTGTCAAAGTATTGTAATGCACTGCTTGTTGTGAGTGGCTGGATGTCTGTAGCATTTTCATTCACCTCTGTTGAATAGATGTAGGTCCAGGACTTGAATAATGGAGAAGAGGTGAGAAGGTGCTTTTCTTCAGCTCTGTTGGTGTTGCTGCCAAGTGCACCTTGCTGGGAAGTCATGCAGTAAGACAGATACTCTGTCAATTTTTCCTGTAAACACATGTCCTATCATGTCTATTATGTTTCTTTCGTTTTCTCTCATATATATACACACACACACACACTATGTATTTTCTGAGATTAGAAGTGTCACACAATATTTTAAAAGGCATTTGATGAATCTTCAAGAGAGAGTGCCATCCAGTGTTCAGAGGAAAAGGATTAATAAGCCAGAATCTGGGTTCTTGTTCTAGGTTTGGCACTGATTTATTGCATGACTACCTGGAAAGTTCCCTCACCTGCTGTTTTTTTGGTCTTGTTTCACCAAATAAAACATGGGAATGAAAATGACAAGCTGGAAGTGGGAGGGCTTTAGAGTTGAATATACTTTAGATTTAGGGACCAGTAGCTTTGGAGGAGTGCAGAATACTGAGTTTGTTCAGTCATAACTGTACTGCAGAATCTATTGCTTTAAGAACTGGCCCTGTTTGGTATTATACTTTTGATGTCTTCTTGGGTTTGTGCTCCTTGGGAGTACAGCAGAAAGGACACATCCAAGACGAGTGACGGATCCTCAAGTGAGGCAAACCATGGCTACTTCCTCTCTCCGTAGGCATGCTATTTGCTCGCTCCCACACAACTGTTCTGTTTCACAGGCATGGACAGGGCTTGGAACAAGTGTATAATTAGTATCCCTACAAAGCACGAGGAAGGTTTGTGGAAATGACCTGCTCCATTCAGAGGCTGCCATCTCCTGGACCAGAGAGTGGAGTTTTGCTGTATTAACTTCCAACTCATTCCTGGCTCCGTCTAATCATGTTTGTCTGGTTTCTGTTATCCCTCAGATCCTGTGGGAGATCACAAGGTTCTTCCTTCTGGCGATTGAACTGAGTGTGGTGATTCTAGGCCTTGCCTTTGGTACGTGTCAGGAGGTTTTTGTTGTGGAGTCAGCAATTAAAGCTAAGTTAATAGATTGGGAAGAGTCTCTACCTACTTAGAGAGGAAGCAAAAAGGGTGCGTTTTCCTCTCCAACGAGTTGTTGCTGCTCCAGAACACCATTATATTCAGGGACCCTTCTCTTTTGTCAGTGTTTTGTCCCAGAGTTTTCCACCCCAGGAGGAATGTTGTATTATTCTTCTTTCATGCCATTTGCATCCCTTCTTTTTCTAAGGAGGAAACATTCTGCTCTAGGTGGTTTATTGGTCATTTCCGTTCTTCAACCACCTTAGAATCAGCTTGGACTCTTTTCGTTCTCTGATAGATTTAGCTGTTTCATACCTGCATCATTAGAATTAGCCTGTGACTCGGAGAATTTTGACTGGAAAAATCTGCTTTCTTAGAGGGTAAGTCTGCACAGCAGAGGGTAGATATATCCAGCTGAGCTCTTAATTGCATAGTATGGCTGTGACAGCACAGGAGTTAGTAAATTAGCCTTGCTGAGCTCAATGCTGTCATGCTTAAATGGTACATGAGCTGACTTGGGTATCTCTGTGTTGCACTGTGCAGCAGGGTAAGATGTTTTAAAGCTGTTGGCTGCAGCCAACTTTTCTTCCTCTGCATTCCTGAGCATTGTCAGTGAGGGAGAGAACTGCAGATTTTAGTTTTATCACAGATCTGAAGTGTGGTAGTTGGTATCAAGTGGCTTCTGTTATCTGATGTGATTGGTTCATTCAGTAATACCAAGCACTTCATCTTGTAATTTAGAGGGGTATGTTTTTTGTCTGGTTCTTCTCCTCCCCTGCCCCAGTGGACTGAAGGGTGGGAAGACTGTTTGCCTGTAAAGATACTGCTGTAAGGAGTGGATGAGACCTCTTCAGAGCTGTTTAGTCTGCCAGTTGAGGAAATTTATTCCTTCCTAAATTCTAAGCCAGTACTCCTACATCTAACAGGCCTGAGGAATCTTCTTTGGCAAATTTACTCTAATCTGCTACAGAAAGTCCTTAGTACACATTATCAGGCTTGAAAGCAGACCTGGAAATGGTATTCCAAAAGGGTTTCTGGTCACTGCTGCATATGTGCCTTTTGACATGAGCTCACTTTTGGTATCTTTTTGTGTAGGTATTTGTGGTGGCTTTAGTTGGTATTGCCCGTGCTGTTGTCTCCATGACTGTGAGTGCCTCTGATGCTGCCACAGTTGCTGATAAGGTAGGTACAACACCAATTTTAGAGGCTCTGCTTTGTGCAGTTCTGATCACAGCAATCTGCTACAGCTTCCCTTTTATGTGCATACAAGAAGAATGTGGTTTTTTGCAGTACTCACAGCTATGTGTACTATGGAATCCTGTTCCAATAGCTGTATCTAAATGATCACAACATCCAGGGCTGTAAAACAATGGACTTCCTAAAATAGACGCACAAATAGTGGCAGCAAAACTTTCCTGTTGCAGGGATGGAATGACTCTGCTTTGCAAGAGCTAAACATTCAGATACTTTTAGTGGATAGGCAAGACCTGGCCTTTGTTACTCTTGCAATATATGAGTGGCTCTTAAAAATATTTAATTCTTTTGTATTGAAAGCAAATAAAACTAAATTCTCTTTTGAGACTGATATCTGAATGTCCTTGCAGCCACTCTGAGCACAGGGTGAACCCTTAGCAAACAGGAAATAGCTTTGTATGTGCTGTTCCTTTGTAGTCATTTGACTTGTAGCACAATGTTACCTAAAACAAAAAGCTCCGTAGCTCTTGAGCTGTTAGAGGAAGAAGAGCCACCCACAGAGTACAGATCTTCTGGCTTTATTCTCTGGGATCAGTGCGGTTCTTTTGCTTTTCCCTTTAATGTTACCTGTCAAAGTATTGTAATGCACTGCTTGTTGTGAGTGGCTGGATGTCTGTAGCATTTTCATTCACCTCTGTTGAATAGATGTAGGTCCAGGACTTGAATAATGGAGAAGAGGTGAGAAGGTGCTTTTCTTCAGCTCTGTTGGTGTTGCTGCCAAGTGCACCTTGCTGGGAAGTCATGCAGTAAGACAGATACTCTGTCAATTTTTCCTGTAAACACATGTCCTATCATGTCTATTATGTTTCTTTCGTTTTCTCTCATATATATACACACACACACACTATGTATTTTCTGAGATTAGAAGTGTCACACAATATTTTAAAAGGCATTTGATGAATCTTCAAGAGAGAGTGCCATCCAGTGTTCAGAGGAAAAGGATTAATAAGCCAGAATCTGGGTTCTTGTTCTAGGTTTGGCACTGATTTATTGCATGACTACCTGGAAAGTTCCCTCACCTGCTGTTTTTTTGGTCTTGTTTCACCAAATAAAACATGGGAATGAAAATGACAAGCTGGAAGTGGGAGGGCTTTAGAGTTGAATATGCTTTAGATTTAGGGACCAGTAGCTTTGGAGGAGTGCAGAATACTGAGTTTGTTCAGTCATAACTGTACTGCAGAATCTATTGCTTTAAGAACTGGCCCTGTTTGGTATTATACTTTTGATGTCTTCTTGGGTTTGTGCTCCTTGGGAGTACAGCAGAAAGGACACATCCAAGACGAGTGACGGATCCTCAAGTGAGGCAAACCATGGCTACTTCCTCTCTCCGTAGGCATGCTATTTGCTCGCTCCCACACAACTGTTCTGTTTCACAGGCATGGACAGGGCTTGGAACAAGTGTATAATTAGTATCCCTACAAAGCACGAGGAAGGTTTGTGGAAATGACCTGCTCCATTCAGAGGCTGCCATCTCCTGGACCAGAGAGTGGAGTTTTGCTGTATTAACTTCCAACTCATTCCTGGCTCCGTCTAATCATGTTTGTCTGGTTTCTGTTATCCCTCAGATCCTGTGGGAGATCACAAGGTTCTTCCTTCTGGCGATTGAACTGAGTGTGGTGATTCTAGGCCTTGCCTTTGGTACGTGTCAGGAGGTTTTTGAGTGCTTTGAATGTTTCCTATTCCCTTTCTTTCCACAGAGGCTGCATCTGTAAGTTTGTGGAGATGCTGATCCTATAAAGTGAAGGAGCTCTAGGATGAAGACAAAGGACAAATTGGGCAGTTTTAGTTAGAAATGGCTGAAAGCCTGATTATATTTACAGATCTATGGCTTGTGCAATTTCAGGGTTTATATGTGCTTTGTTTGTCCTGCATGCATGTGGTGAAGGAGCGTACAGCTTAGGTGAGGATGACTTATGCAAAGATCAACAGTCTGATCTTTGCTTCAACCCCATTTTATTTAAGATGGTTCCTTTGGGGGTCCTTCTATCCTCTCCTTGGCTGGTTTGATTCCATCCTTGGCTGATTTGATTCCATCCTGGCTTCATTCATGGTTACATGCTTTAACTGTACCTGCAATCTGTAACTCTACTTTTTTCAATTGTACAAGTGAAAATGCTATTTGGAGCACCTCTTCCTGTGGGTCAGAGGTAGAGGGGAGGGGTTGGTAGGCATCACTGTTGCATCTGCCAGTGGGACATCTGAGCACTAGCTCTTTCATCTTTTGAGGGCTCATAGAATAATTTAGGTTGGCAGGAGCTTCTGGGGATTATCTGCTCCAGCATATTCCAGTGCAGATTTCTCTAAATTATGTAAGCCCTTCTCCCCTGCTCTAACCCAGTCTCCCATCAACTTTTTTTCCTGAGAAGAAACTTTACAACATCTCAGTGTACATGATACTGGATTCATTCCTGACTTTTTTTTTTTTGTAACCCCAGCGGAAGGACATAGTTGCCTTCTCTATATTAGTGTGGGCAGGAGGAAAACAAGTTAAAACCATTGTTTTTGTAAGTATTATTTTGTCTGTGAAAGGTTCAACTCTCCAAACAGGGAAGCAGTTTCTAGCAGTTGAGTGAGCTTTAACCTTCCCTTGAAGGCCTCTGGAAATATAAATGTTTTCCTGTATTGGTTTTGAAGAGAACTGATTTTTTTACCAGGGCTGGGATCACATCCTGAGTCACTTCTGTATTCCTTAATTCCAGGTCACCTGGAGAGCAAGTCAAGCGTGAAACGTGTGCTGGCAATCACTACAGTGCTGTCTCTGGCATATTCTGTCACCCAGGTGAGTACCTTGGAGCAGAAGAATTAGTCTTTGCAAAAGAGGGGATTTTACTTCGAGTTAGGCAGTTAGGTGTGGGACTCCTATCTGGAAAATGGCAGCTTTGCTCTTTGGATGAGGTTTTAGGGGAAGACTGGATGCTTGTGGCAATGTGTGAGGATCCCCAGAGCATACACCAGACTGATTCTCCTTGTGTTCTTTATGGCATGAAACGCTCAGCCGAGGTGAAGAAATGAGATGAGGTTTAGATGGATTGCCTTGTTTAGTGAATCTTAGAACAGGAGTGATAGGTTTTTCACACCTGAGCCCTCAGGTGCCATGAAAACTAGATGGAGAGACCTGAGGTGTGCTTGCCAGGTAAGGGCAGTGCAGTGGGCCTCTTGTCTCCTGACTGAGAGCTGAGAGCTCTTGCTTCCCTTCAAACTAGCAGCTGGCTTGCTAGCTCGGTTTATTACCTGTGTCTCCATCTCTCTGAACAATGCAGTATGTGTTTGGGTTTATTCTTCTTGGTATGTCAGTGGTCAGCCCTGTGTCTCTATACTTGGGGCAGCGCCAGAATAACACACAGATCTTTGTTCTGTGACCAGACTCTTGCTTGCGGAGGCAGTGAGCTGATCATTACCACATGATAAAGCTGGAGTATCAAGTGTTGGAGCTATATCTGGGTTAAGTAGTGCTTACAAGCACTTTTCTCTCTCCACTGTCTGTATGACAGCTTCTGTTCATACCATTTTTCAGGAATTCAAGTGAATGGGACGGTGTCCTTTCCCAACTCTTGCACAAGTGTGGGCTTTTATATTCTGGATGTTTCAGCAGGAAAGGTCTACTTTAGAGATGGAAATGAAACTCTCAGTCTATTTCAAACAGACAACTGCTTGCATCCTCTATTCCTTCATTCAGTCTCTCTTCTGGAATGTCATTGATGCCAGTTTCCTTCAGATGCAGATTCCTGCCACTTTTTTCCCCCCTCACTGCTTGTCTTCAGTTTCTTCCTCTTTTCCTGTGTGAGCTTAACTTGGTCTAAGCAGGGCAATGGTTGGGTCTTAGGTGGCAGGGACAGCTGTTATCTGAACTGCTTTAAACAGTCTCCCTTGTCCAGACATCCACTCTAGTGAGGATGCTGCCTATAACAGAATCATGTTGGTGCCACTTCTCTTCTAGGGCACCCTGGAAATCCTGTACCCTGATGCCCATCTCTCAGCAGAAGACTTCAACATCTATGGCCACGGAGGGAGACACTTTTGGCTTGCCAGCTCCTGTTTCTTCTTTCTGGTAAGTACTGGGCATGTGTTATGCACTCTGATAGCTTCTATGTATTTTCTAAATGGGGCAAGGAGGATGATTTGTGTATAATAAGGTCCTAGTCCCCCTCCTGCCTGATACAGTGCAGCATTGATGCTTCTCATGTGGCAGGGAAGCTGAAGCGATAAAGGTGTGGTGGGAGTGGTGTAAGCTGTTGCAGCTGAATTCCAGCTGAACTCGGATGTCCTTCACTCCTTTGTTTCTCAGTGACCAGCCTTTTTGTGCTGATGGGGGTGAGGTGTGGGGCCCTGCACTGGGTTTAATATCGGGGGTCTGTGCCCCTGTCCCGAGACATCTAGGGAGTGCGTGACACCACACACCATCCCTGCAAAGATTGCTGAGTTCAGTTGCCAAGCAGCCGTGGAACAGTTAGTTCTTTGTCTCAACAGGTCTATTCCTTGGTGGTGATTCTTCCAAAAACTCCTCTGAAGGACCGGATTTCTTTGCCCTGTAAGTGACTGTAGTGTGTTCCATAGTATAGATGGAGACAGCACCAGGATAAAACGTAGGTGGGAGTAAGAGGTTCCTGTATCTGCTTGTGTTGCAGATGCATCCCACTGTCTCAGGGTACAGATACATGGCAAAGGACTGATAAGTTATCCCTGGAAAAATAGTATGTTGTGCCTTTTGGAGAGCAGAATAAGAGCGATTACATTGCTACTTCAGTAGCTAAACAATTACATTAAGAAAACAAGATTTACTAATAATCTTCAGAGAGCCATAAGAAATGGCTTCTTAATAATAGCTTCCTTTGAAATGCATGTATGATGTTAAAGTGTATGTGCTGGTCATCCCCTGAGAAAGAAAGGCTAATTGGGAGCTGCTTAATAATTTTTATCTGGGCATTTACTTTATTAAGATGCTTCTCTGGTTTTTCTTTTTGTTGCAGAATATCTGCAGTTCTTGAATAGGGAGAGAAGCTGTTACTAAGATGTTTGCATTGAGTTGTTCTCTCTCTAAGTAGTGTTGGCACCTATGTGTGGGTACCCTGAGGGAGTGGACATGTGTGGCACATGCCACAAGCCGGTAGTCCTGGGCCTGATCTGCCTAGTGTCCAGCATTCTGTGCTGCTCCTGTCCAGGTCTCCTGAGCAGTTTTGTTAGTGCTGTACATCGGAAAGGCACAGATTCTGGTTCAGCTGTGGGGTTTTTGTTTGTCTTTCTCACATTGTTATGAGTCTGACACTGGTTCCAGATGCTTGCCTATAAAATTTTTGCATGTGTTGCCATGACCATGTGTTTTCAAAACCCATCTTGTGTGTGTGCATACACATGCAGGAGGGTATGGTTTAGTTCACTATTCCTCCATCAATCCTGCCAGCATGGGACAGGAAAATGCAGTCTTAATTCTTCAGTTCTTAAACAGACAAGATGGTGAGATGCTTCTGTTGGGTCTACCATCTCCATCAAACAGATTTGCACTGGGCTGGTGCTTATGAGGTTGAGCTTCATCTGCGTCCATGTCTTTTTTCCACAGCCAGGAAGAGTTTTTATGTTTATGCTGGAATCCTGGCACTGCTGAACCTGGTGCAGGGCCTGGGCAGTGCCCTCCTCTGTGTGGATATCATAGAAGGACTGTGGTATGTATGCTGGGGGAGGAGACCTGCAGACCTGCATTTGAGTGTGCTTCAACACTGCCTCTCCCAAGAAAACAAACTTGTGCTGTGTTCCTAAGAAGGAATAAAGCTGCTGGTTCTGTTTTGTGCTAGAAGACCTCTAAGTGGTCAGGAAACTCACAGTGGAGAGGTCTGTGGAGCTGCGTGCTCTGCAGTGGTCTTGAGATGGTGAGTGAGAATAATTGAATCCACTGATGCCTGGCCATTGGCTCGTGTTTCATAGGTAATAAGGGTGGAAATAGTCTGTTTGCTAGAAATAGCATGGAGATACCCCTGTTCATATCTGGAGTCTTGTTCTGCAGGGATCAGTGTCACTTCTGTGAGTCAAAACTGGGAGCACTGAGACTGTGCTCTTGGTCAGACCTTGGGTCTTGGCATGGTTCCCTCTAAGTGTCTAGGAGCAGTGACAGATGTTGATGGCAATGTCTGTTACTTTGCATCAGTTTGAATTTGTTTAGCACAAGATTTTCCTGTCCTCTGCTTGGACACTCTGGAGGGAAATTGGATCATTCTGGGGGGATGTGACTGGTGTTATCCAGCTGTTTTGTGCTTGAGTGCTAAATTCCTTCATGTTCCCTTTTGCCGTTGGCAGCTGTGTTGATGCTACCACGTTCCTTTACTTCAGCTTCTTTGCACCTCTCATCTATGTGGCATTCCTGAAAGGCTTCTTTGGGTGAGTAGCCAGGAACAGGAATTTAGAGGGTATATATTGTTATTTAATTGTTTTGCACTCAAGTTCTCCCCATCTGTAGAATAAAGGCAGCGACTAGAATGCCAGTTAGGGAACCAGTTTTTAATTTCTGGCCTTGAAGTTTTTCTTGTGTGACCCAGGGCTGCTCGCTTCAGTCCAAGACTCCTTTGTATGCAAAGTAGAGCTGATAGCTATATTCCTCTCCAACATTTATGAGGATCACTTCTTCAGTGTCTGCATTCTGTTTAGTACAAAGTTTTTCCGCTGAAGTTGTTAACTACATGGTTAGTGAGAGATTGAGTCCCGGAAGGTTAAATGGTCTCCTGGGTGGGTTTTGGGATAGGTTTGTAGAAAGGATCTAGGGATTAGGTAACACTTTTTGGCTGAGGACTCCTCTACAATGGGCCCAAGAGTCACCAGTTAAAAGTACTCGGGAGTGTGATTCCTGGGTCGGGGTTGCCGCCGTGTGGCCACTCAGAGGAGATGCATCTTGGTAGGAAAAACTGAGTTTTTAGTGTAGACTTCAGCTTTTGTTGTCCGTAAGCAAGAAACAGCCGGCTTTAAAATAACTAAGAACATAAAGTACTCCTAAAATATCAAAATGTGCCTCTGCTGCCTTCTGAAATCAGAAGGGAACAGTGTCTGGAGTTAGAGATGGAAACTGCTGATCCACAAGTGTTTGTATTTTGGTTATCCTGATGCACACAGATGGTACTTGAGGTGGACTCCTGTTCTGTTGGTGTCAGTAACCAGGCTGCCGTGGAGTCCAGTGGTGTTTGGATGCCTTTGTCCTCAATAATTCAGAACTCCCAAAGATGAGAACACCTTTCCCACACTAGAGTCAGGGTTCTGCCATTTTTATTTCTCTTAGGTGACTTAGTCCAAAGCTACATATAGCATTACTTTATGGCAATTACTCTGCTAGGTATATTTCAGGACTGAAAGCTAGTGTGAAGAGTTTTTAGGGTCTGAATACACAATTTCTTAGTGCTGCTGAGTTTCAGTTAAGGATAAGTGGCTGTGATACTACATTGCTTAAACATCTATTTTAAATCTTTAATCACTCCAGGTCTGAACCGAAGATCCTTTTCTCGTACAAATGTCAGGTGGATGAACCTGAGGATGTGGATGTGCACCTACCCCACCCTTATGCTGTTGCCAAGAAGGAAGGAATGGATTCTGGGTTCTACTCGAGCACTCAAATTGACACCACAGCCTACCTGGATGACGTGGCCTCTATGCCGTATCATGTGGGCAGCATCAACAGCATAGACAGTGACCGCTGGAAAGCCATCAATGCCTAAGGCAGGGCTACCCGCTTCACATGATGCCTCATTCTTTTCCTTCCAAACTCCCTGATACCACAGCTGTTAGGCTGTCCATTGGAAATCTGTCCTTGGCTGTCTGCCATGGCTTTGCTCTCTTCCTTAAGATTTCCAAAACCTATTGTGGAACTAAGTTGGCAGCCCAAATCCTGTTGGAAAGAACATTTTCTGTCGCTACCTGAGAACAATGTAGAAGAGTTTTGTTCATAAACCTATAAACACTGAACCTTCCTGATCCTCTGTGTTCCAGATGTGAATATGACCCAGAAGACAGGCCTGACTGGCACCTCTTCCTTTTTCAAAGACTGAAAGCACTTGTCTGCCAATTAGGGAAATGTTGTTTAGGGATGAGCGTGTTGATTTGACTGCTGTATTGTACATATATAGAAAGAGTTTGGTGGTTGAAACCAAAGATGGTCTTCCTGGGCTTTTTCAAGCAGCATGGCTGCCTGGGTCTTGTCATAATGCAACAGCATAGGTGGTGACAGCAGTGTCTGAAGAGGGAAGCTGGTCAGCTGGGCTCATCTCTGGTTTCAGCTAATACTGATGAAAATCATGAACTGCAGTTGCTAGGGGTTAAAAGGAGTGTTCTGAGCGTGTGGGATGGAAAAGAGAGGCATGAAAAGGAATGAACTGTTCTTTGTGCCCTGGGAGCATTTTGGGAGGCTAGCATGGATGTGAACTGACTGAACAATAGGGAGACAGAAGGACAGACAGTGCTGCTGTCTAGCTGAGCTGAACTAGCTGTGAAACAGTCTATGGAGGCTGTACTACCGTGCATCTGAGCTCACAGGAAAATCTAAGTAACAACACTGAATCGGGGCTGAGTTTCAAGAATAAAACCTGTGAGGTAGGTGCATTTTCCATCTGCACACTGCTTCGTGGCTCTGGCAGGGTCTTAGAGTGCTGTGAAGGAAGAAGCTGACTCTGCAGATGAAAGTTCCAGAGACGTTCAGGTGCTTGAGGCAGAGTAGAAGCCCATGATGAGTCTGAGCTGTCAGTATTCAGTGACTGGAAACTCTCAAACACCATAGGCGTGCTAGAATCAAGCTCGCTGGTGTTCTAAGTTGGGAGGCAGGTGGGAGATGGATGTGTTTCTCTGGCAGTGTCCTCCTCTTATGTTGCAGTTCAGATCCCCAGACTTCTGCTGGTCTGAATAGGTTTTATGGCTCGATATGTTGAAAGTACTTATATGCATGTGGAGCGTGGTTTATTTAAAGACTATCTGGAACTTACTAACCTCTTCCATGCTGGAAAAGGGACTACTGTTGTCTGAGCTGTCTGGCACGCAGTTTCAAGACATCGTGTTCCAATCCAGGGACTGTTCAGCTGAAAGCTGCATCAGGCTGGTTTCTGGGACATACTGTGCTCTCCAAGGATGAAGAGGTGTATTCCTCTAGCTTTGGGGGTGCTTTCCTATCCGAGTCCTCCAGGTAGTTGGAGATCTGCTATAAGCAATAGCAACTTTCCATTAGAGATGGTAGAAAGAGGGAATTTAAAACGTTTGGGTACTGTGTGAATCTCTTGCCCCAACTCACTGCTCTTCCTGAAGAATACTGAGGTAAGAGTTTCTGGGAAATCATCATGCAGGGTGCAGCATGGAGGTGTTATTTTGGATCATGAGCAGGTAGGGGAAAGCATTTGCTACCAGGTGTTCCCACCATAAGGAAAAAGTTCGGGTAAGAACACAAAGTTCGTATCGGTTGCCAAAACTATGCAGGCCCTTTGCTTATCTTTTTTTTTTTTTTTTTTTTTTTTTTTGTTAATGAGCAATGCAGCCTCTCTGTTCTGCCTGTGGACTTTGCCCTGCAGGCCTGTAAGTAGCACTGGCACCTTGAAAACAAACACCCCCCGCCCCCCCCCCTTTTTTTTTTTTTTTTTTTTTAATTTACTTCTGAGGAAAAAAGGCTTCTGTTTGTGCGAGAGCTGAATTGTCTCATGTAGGTCAACAGCCTCTCACATTTCCCCTCCGTGCAATGACTATGTAAGGGCTGGACAAGCAACTGGCCAAGTCAGCCCTTGCCACATTAGAGAAGTGTTCCATGCTCCTCCCGTCACTTGCTGTGAATCGGCCTGAGCCACGCTTGCTTGCTTACTCTGAAAGGGATGGATGATGTGGTGCCTGAATGTCCTGCTGCTGCTCCTAATGCTGCTTACAGCACTGATCCCGAGCTGCTGTTAGAAAGCGTGGGGAAACCTGCAGAGCTTCCCTGGAGTTGGTGGGCCTTGGACAGAGCCAAGAGATACGAAGGTCTTAAGGCAGTTGAGAAATAAAGGAGCAACTGTTTTTCCGTCCCAAGGACTTTGTTGACTCTCAACACGCTGACCGAGAGGACTTACCTGCACTCCTTGGTGATGTGAAGAGCAGGTTATGAATTTGCCTTTTTATCAGCTGAATTCAGCGCTGAAGGATCACCTGTGCAGGTGGTCGACATGTCCATCCTGTCCTTTGCTGGCAGGACTCCAGTATTTCTGGAGTGTCTCATGTTCTGCTGCTGAGGAGCTTCTGCGCTAGGTCATGGACTGACCTTCCTCCTGTTGTATTTTTATGTATATATAATGCTTTGGGCCATATTCAGAATGGTTCTTGAGCAGAAGTGTGTTATGGGGGGGGTAAAAAGAGAGAAAATATAGAATAAATGTATATTTTTGTTTGTAAAATAAAGAAATAAAGTTAAGTTTGGCATAAATGGTCATACTTTCTTTCTCAAATGATCCATATCATGGAGAAAAAAAAACTTTCACTTTTTTTTTTAAATCCCTGAACAAATATGGCAGATAATAATGGAATAACATGATGTCCTTTTGTCAGAGATGGATTTTTTCCTTCTTGGAAAGCTATTACTAGGGCAGCAGATGACTCTGCAGAGAGTGGTCTCCAGGTCTAAATAATTGTCAGTGGAGCCTTTGACTCTTCTCTCAGTAACTAGATCTTGCTGTTCCCGGGCATGTCTAGCACCAGGAGCCTTTGCTATAGGATATCTTTCTCTGTTGCTTGGGAAAAGGCTTATGTCGAAGTTGGAATTGACTCTTGCTTATTTCTTGTTCTGGGCTTTGAAATGAACGCTGTGTGTCAGGACTAATTTTCTGGCTGCGGGGAGGACATGATAGCTGCTGAGTAACAGCTAAGCGTGCTGGCAGTAATCAGCACCCATCAGGTTCTCTTTGGCAGGGGTGTACAGGCTGGGGAAGTGGGGTGAGCTTTGTCTCTACCTTGGGATTGGTTCATGCCCTTGTCCAATAAAACCTTTTGGAGATCCTTCCAGGCTCCCTACAGAAAACTGGGGGGATTGCCCTAGGAGATGCTACTGCTGGAGTTAACTTTGATGGCATCCTCTGTTCCTGCGTAGGTGGAGAGGCGATTAAGTTGCTGTACAGCTTCTCCACCATTATCACGGCTGCTTCCACATCAGCGTCCCACAGGTAGTGGGCCCTGTTGGGTGTCCTTAGGCTCTTGGAGATCACAGGAAGGCACGGCTGTAGATGTGACATGCAGTTTTGTTTGTCTTTGCCCACTCTCCCTCCTGGATCTTTGCAGATGATGCCTGCCACCTGGCTGGAGTTACACCTGAAAGAGGCCTGAGGAAGGATGACAGGAATAATCAAAGTTACGGGAAGACTTCTGGAGGAGTAATTACATGGTTGAGAACTCACCAGCCTGGAAGAGCAATGGTGCAGATCTGTGAAACCCTGAGAGGACGGAGGAGGCGAATGAGGAATGACTGTTCACGGGCTTTTTCAGTACAAAAATGGTGCCATCAGCTGAAGTGAGCAGGTGGCAGATGAGAAATAAACGTGGTGAGAGCGTTATGGGAGGGATCATGGTTTGACTTTAGCCAGACCTTTGCTCTTGCACTGGACGTGTGCAGTGTTTCTGTATTGCAGTGCAAACAGCTGATGGTACTGTGATGCAGTGCCCTTGTCTTGAGAACTCAAGCAATGGGCCAAGTCCCCAGCGTACAAGGTGTTGCGCAAATAACAAAAATATTCCCTGCTTCCAGGAATACGCTGTAGAAGAGGCCTGATAGCTTGGATGGCAAAGAGTCCTAGATACTCCCTTAAAGCTGGCCAGAGTCCCACTGCTGCTTCTCGGTCCAGTTGTGTGTTGCAAATCCTCTTTCTCTTTCCCTTGGTTTAGGCTGTGGATTGCCCATGCCTGGTGACAGGGACCATATCTGCGATGGCCTGACCTATGCGGGACTCCCGCGTGCACCTGTCATGGCAGGTAACGGCACAGTCAATAGGTCTTGCTGGAACAGGGTGGCTGAAGGGAGCGGCGAGGTTAATTCTGCCTACAGAGCAGCTGCTGTAAAATTGACTAGAAGTCGTAGGCGGTAATTTTGTTCTTAAATCACCAGAGAAATGTGAGCTGACATGTTGGGGTGGTGAGCTCCCTTAAGGACTATAGAGAAACAGCATGTGCGAAGGCAGACGAGGGGATGCCCTCACTCGGCTGCATTGGGGGCTGCTTTGTCTCGATGCTACTGAGGGGAAATTGCCTGAACATCCCTGGGGGCTCCTCAGCCTGTGAATCCTCCGTGACAGACGACGTCTGGGTGGTTCCTCAATCTTGGAGCTAGGAGATCAGCTTCGTGCCTTCCCGTCTTACTTTCTGTGTGGTAACGTGTGTTTTGGTTTTCTTCCTTCCATAATTCTGACCCTGGGGTAAAGAAACCCCGCAAGCGGGGTGTATCGCAGTGGAAGCTTATGGGGTGGTTTGATCCTGCATTCAAAACGAAGGTGTGGAGGACGGGCACAGCCCTCAGTGTGGAAGGGGAGGGGGAAGCCTAGCGAGGCTAAGGGCCAGACAGCGAGCCCGGAGACGCTTTGTTGCCGCCATGGGTATGTCGCAGGGTGCGGATGAAGAGGTAACCTGCCTCGGAGCACAGCTTTCTCCGGGGACGGGTCAGACCGCCCGCGCCCTTGGCACCGCAGACCGCGCAGCCGCCGGCGGCAGACTACAGCCCCCAGCCTGCACCGCGGCTCCCCCCCCCGCCCCCCCCCCACACACTGGC